TGGTTAGGAGCCCCACAAGAATGTGGCTGCGCTCGGGACTGACTCTGCTTCTCACCGGTGCAGAGTACCAGCGGAAATACAGAGAGCACGTGCTCAGGGAGTTCCTCTGGTACAAAGAAGTGAACTCCTGTCTCGGGGAGAACCTGTCCGTCAGCAGCCGCTACACCGACCTGACCATCGCCAGGAGGCCTCGGAGCAAGCGCGGAGGGGAGCATGAGGCTGTGGGCACCAGCCGTGGATGTGCCGACGCCGGCAACGGACCAGCCACCGTCACCGCGCAGACTCTGTTTGAACCCGACGAAGATGGGCAAACGCCGCAGGTCGTGGTGCTGGTGGGGGCCCCAGGGATGGGGAAGACGATGACGGTCAGGAAGGTGATGGCAGAGTGGGTGGAAGGGACCCTCTACACGCAGTTTGACTACGTCTTCTGCATAGACTGTAAAGACATGGCCTTTACCAAGGAAGCGAGTGTGGCAGACCTGGTTTCAAAGTGCTGCCCTCACAGGCGAATGCCGACTGGGAAGATCTTGGATGACCAGAAGAAGATCCTGTTCATTTTTGATGGCTTTGAGGCCCTGGGGTTTTCCTTGGTTCAACCTGAAGATGAGCTGAGCTCTGACCCCAGGGAAGTGAAGCTGCTGGAAACCACCCTGATGAGCTTGCTGAAGAAGACAGTTCTCCCCGAGTCCTCCTTGCTCATCACCACAAGGCCGACGGCTCTTCAGAGCCTGGGACGGTGCCTGAAGGGTGAGTATTACGCGGAAATACTGGGATTTTCGGCAGCCATGAGGGAGGAGTATTTCCACAGGTATTTTGAGAACGACAATAAAGCCGACGTGGCCTTCAGGTTTGCCAGAGGCAACAAGATCCTCTACAGCTTGTGCATCATCCCTGTCATGAGCTGGACCGTTTGCACCATCCTTGAACAAGAGCTTTACAAGAAGAAAAACCTCGTTGAGTGCTCTAAAGCCACCACGCGGATGAGCATGTTTTACCTCTCCCGGTTAATGAAGTGCAGAGGTCGGGACAACCCGCAGGACCTCCAGCAGTTCCTGCACAAGCTCTGCTCCTTGGCTGCTGACGGCGTCTGGAAGCACAAGGTCCTCTTTGAGGAGAAAGACATCAAGGATCGTGGCTTGGACCAGCCAGAACTTCTCCCCCTCTTCCTCAACGAGAAGATCTCAAAGAAGGGTGTAGACCATGGGAACATCTACAGCTTCACCCACCTGCACTTCCAGGAGTTTTTTGCGGCGATGTTTTACGTTCTGGAGGACAATGAGGAAATGGTTGGCGACTCGGGTGCTCTCGTGAAGGACATAAATATGTTATTAGATAGCTATAGCAAATCCAGGAAGGATTTGAACTTAACGGTGCGGTTCCTGTTTGGTCTGGTAAGCCAAAAATCAATCGAGTATGCGGATGAAATCATCGGGTGCAGAATTTCACCGCGAGCCAGGGAAGATATGCTGCGGTGGCTTCAGGGGAGGCACGGAGGCATCTCCCATCCCAGCCAAGCGCTGAAGGTTTCGGAGTTGGACACTTTCCACTTTTTGTTCGAGATGAACGAGAAAAGCTTCGCGCAACGTGCGTTGGGTCGTTTCACCGACGTAGCCTTGCAGGACATCAAGTTGACCCTGTACGACCAAATGGCTCTTTCCTTCTGCATCAGGCAGTGGGCTGGGCTGGGCTGCGTCACCCTCCGTGGATGCTCCTTCGACCAGCAGGATCCCGGGGAAGAGCTGGCCACATCGGTGCCCCAGTAAGTACTGCCTTTCTCTGCTCTAGCGACCCAGAATCCCAACAATTTCTCCTTCTCCACCCCAAAGGATGGCTTTAAAGGCATTGCAGCTCCTTCCACCCTAACAGCTTGTCTCCTCGCTGGGGTTTAGTTCCTCAGCGGAGGGTTTTACTTATTCTTGGGGAGAATTGTGGGAGAATAAGGATCATGCGGGCTCCTCTGTCCACTGCGTGTGGTGGGATTGATGGAGACGGAGCATCTCGGCTCAACTTCCCCAGCCCAAACGGGCGCATCTGCACCCGGGTGTTGGTTTGGCTTCATGTCCCCCTTCTCACGTGCAAAGGGGAGATCCCCGGTCCTGAAATTTTAATTGCGCCCTAAGCTTTGCTTGAGAGCAGGATAACTCCAGCAGTAATGCTCGTGATCCTTTGCATCTCCAAAGCCGTGGAGGTCCCACCTGAGGAGACCTCCCGTGAGCTGTTGGTGAGCACCACTCGGGAGTTTGTGTGCTGGCGTCGAAGCTGGGAGCTCCCAGTGCCGGTGAGGGCTGCCCGTGCCCCCCGGGGCTCTGTCCCCCTGCAGCTCCGGTGCCTCGGGAGCCGGAGGACGTCCCCGTCCCCTCGCTGAGCGGCGGCGGGAAGAGCTGCTCTCCCCCATCCACCCGCTCTGCTGGGCGCTGTGGCAGCTGGGCACCAACCTGCAGGCGCTCCGGTAAGAGAACCACGCTCGGCGCTGAGCCGAAACCGTGGCCACGGTGCTGCTGCCGGCACGGACTGGGTGCGCTGGCCGGGGTCCGTCTGCCCCGGCTGGCTCTGGGGTGGGGGGCACCCGGACCGGTGGGTGGGTGCTGCCCCGGGCAGAGGGGACGGGAGCCGTGCGGGGGCACGGCCGCCCCACGGTGCCCCACGGCTCCTGGGGACCAGCACCAAGGGGCTGGGGATGAGGCCGGGCCCCCATTGGCTGTGGGTAGGTGTGGTCCCTCCGCACTGATTGGCTGTGGGATGGTTGGGTGTGGTCCCTCCATGCCGATTGGCTGTGGGATGGGTGGGTGTGGTCCCTCCATGCTGATTGGCCATGGTTGGGTGTGGTCCCTCCACACTCATTGGCTGTGGGATGGGTGGGTGTGGTCCCTTCATGCTGATTGGCCATGTGGTGGGTAGGTGTGGTCCCTGCATGCTAATTGGTCCTGCAATGGATGGATTGGTGCAGTTCCCCCATGCTGATTGGCTGTGCGGTGGGTGGCTGTGGTCCTTCCATGCTGATTGGCCATACAGTGAGTGGGTGTGGTCCCTCCCTGCTGATTGGCTGTGTGGTGGGTGGGTGTGGTCCCAACTTGCTGATTGGCCAAGTGGCAGGGGAAGGCGGGCAGGCGGGGCAGGTGTGACGAGCCCGTCCGTTCTCTGCGGCTCTCCCCCCCAGGCTGCAGTGGTGCGGGCTGTCGGAGAGCTGCTGCGCGGAGCTGGCGGCGCTGCTGGCCAGACACCCCAGCCTGGCCCGGTTGGAGCTGGGCGACGGCACGCTGGGCGACGGCGGCGTGCGCCTGCTCTGCGAGGGGCTGCGGCAGCGCGGCTGCCGCCTGCGAGTCCTGCGGTGAGTGGCCCCGACACCCCCGGGCGTCCCTACGGGCATCTCCCAGGCTGCCAAACCCTCGGGGTGGAGCGGAGGGCTGGGGAGGAGCCCCAGAAACATCCCTCCGGGGCAGCATCGTCCCTCTGTCCCGCTCTCTCAGGGTGAGGAGCTCGAAAGCGGTGGCACTGGGGTGGGGACCGTCACCATGGTGGGGTGGCACCGGGGGGCCCGCGGGCTGGCTCTGAGGGCCTTTCCCACGTGTCCTTGGCAGGCTGTGGTACTCCAGCCTCACCAGCGCCTGCTGCGAGGACCTCGCCACTGTGCTGGGCACCAGCCCATGCCTGGAGGAGCTGGATTTGTCCTTCAGCGAGGGGCTGCGCGACGCCGGCGTGAAGCTGCTGTGCGAGGGGCTCCAGCGCCGCACCTGCCAGCTGCGGACGCTGCGGTGAGGGGCCGCGGGGCCGACGTGCCCTCCTTCCCACCCGCAGCCGCTCACCAAGCGGCCGGTCAAACCCTGCATCCCTTTTTTCCCCTCGGTCCCGCAGGTTGGGGAGCTGCCGGCTGACGGGCGCCTGCTGCCGAGCCCTGGCCGCTCAGCTGGTGGAGAGCCCTCGCCTCACCTGCCTGGACCTGAGCGACAACGAGCTGGGAGCTGACGGCGTCCTGCAGCTCTGCCAGCAGCTCCGGCATCCCGCCTGCCGGCTGCAGGCCCTGGGGTGAGGCGCCTGGCACGTCCCACTTCCATCCCCGGCATCCCCGCACCACGCCGGCACCCCAGGGTCGGATACTGCGGGTCAGGGGCTATCAGCATCCCATCGCCCAGGAGAGCAAAGTGTGGTTTTTAACAGCTTTTCTCCTTTTTTTTTCCCCTCTATGTAAAGGCTGAGCACGTCCGGGTTGAACGAGGAAGCGCTGCAGGAGCTGGCCGCCGTGCGGGCACTGAAGCCCGACCTGAAGATCGGGTACCTCCTCGAGCAGGCCGAGCCACAGGCAGGAGCCATGGCCCGGCTGCCCTTCCACCGCGGGGTCCTGCCGGGCGCGGGGGGCAGGAAGGGGCTCCCCTCCTGTAGGAGAGGCCCTTGCAACAACCGGAGCCATTTTTAGCCCTGTTCTGGGTGCTGCTGAAGGCAGGGGGAAGCCTCCCTGGGTCTGAGTCTGCCCCAGGCATTGGGGGACAGGGGAGAAGGTCCTGCCTGCATCTGCTGGGGGTCAGGGCAGAGCTGGTCCAGGTCCTTCTCTCTCCCGTTTCCCCACGCGTGGTGGTGGGAATAGTGGTGTGTTTGCCAATGCCAAATCCCAGGACCCCCCCTCTGCTCTTCCCCATCCTCCCCCCATCCCCGCCATGCCCAGGGACATGTCTGTGGGTCCAGCTCCCACCCCACATCCCTGAGGGGTGGCTGATGTCCCCAGGAGCGAGGTGCCAGCCCTGGAAGTGAGTCTCCAGCCAGTTTGGGGTTTTAAAAAGAAAAAAAAAAAAAAAAAAAAAGAGAGAAAGTCACAGTAAAATTAAAAAAAAAAAAAATTCCCTGTGGTGCTGCTTGTGGGAGGGACACAGGAGCTGTTTTGCTGTTGTGCTGCGGTCCTGGGCAGGGAGAGGTGACCTCGGTGGCCAGAGCCACCCCTTCTTGGGGACAGAGCCCCACCACCCTGCACGTGTGTCCCCAAGGACTCCTGCGGTGTGGCCCGGGCACCCTCACAGCGATGTCCCCAGGGTGCTGATGCCAATATCGTCATAGTCTGTGTCCCCCGGGGGCTGTGCCGGGGGGTCCCTCGTGGCTCCTGGGGGGCTTGGGAGGGGGTGGCTCCCACCTTAGGGGACAGCAAAGGCCGGTGCCTTAGCAGGGCTGCTCCGTGTCCCTCCTGCCCGACCCTGGCTGGGGTCTTGCCAGAGCCCCCGTGGACTTGCTGCCCGCTCCCTGCCTGCCACCGCAGCCAAGCCCCCGGAGGTGGCTCCCCAGGGGACAGGGCGGCTGTGGCCCCTCTTACCTGCGGGTGGGACACAGCCCTCGCTCCTCCGTGCCACCCCCTCGGAGAGGTCCCCAGTGCTGGGAGCGGGGGACTCTTGCGGCACGGCCGCGGCATCGTCGTAGCCATCTGGGGGGCCGTGCTGGGCAGAGGAGTCTGGGACAGGCACAGGGGCGGACAGGAGTGAACCAGAGGCCGTGGCAGGGGTCTGGCTGTGCCACCCCCCTCCGGCCATGCCACCAGCGATGGCCTGGTGGCACTGGGGCTGCAGGCTCTCAGCCAGCGCCGCAGGAGGGATTGATCAGCAGGGAAAGGTGATGCTTTGCTGCACACTAAGGAGAGCTGCAGCGGAGCTGAGCTCGCCCGGGTGAGGGGGGGCCCGTGTCCCCTGGGCTCCCCAGCCCCAGCGCCTGGCCGCATCCCCTCTCCCCAGGGCTCCCCACCGGATTCCTGCCCCTGTGCCCCTACCTGGGGCTGCCTTGAAGTCACTCTCCTCCATGCTGTCCCCAGTGTAATACGGCAGCTTCGTCCCTGAGCCCTCCGACAGGGAGCCTGGCCGGGGGAGGACAGAGTGTTGGGGGTGACCGGGGTCGGCACCGCAGGCAGCACGGCCCCTCGCCACAGAGGGACCGGGGGGACACCTCCACGCCACGGGGACGAGCCGGTGCCGCACCGTCAGGACCTGGTGCCGCGGTGGGGCTGTGGGGCAGAGCCCCCGCTTCGGTGAGGGCTGGTGGGCACAGGGGTCTGCACCAACCTGGGCGACTGGGCACCTCCTGGTAGTCCGGCATCAGGGTGTAGTCCAGCTCCTCGTAGACGGCGTCAGAGACAGCGTCCGCAGCTCTGCCGGGGCCTGAAATGGCAGGCAGCGCTCACCGAGGGCCGTGGGGAGGGTGGGTCGCCCACTGCCCACCCTCGGAGCCACCCCGCAGCGGGAGAGCCCCAGGACCCCCAAACACCCACCCGCC